CCCCATGCACCAATACATAATCCACTCTCCATGCCTAGTCAGACCTTAGACTATCCTGTAAGCCTGACAAGAAGAGATCAACTAAAGTGGTGATTTTATTCAGTGGACTCTTTTCCACTGGGAACTAGCCTGAAACCACTTACTTCTTTTCCATAAGCCACCAGTTGGTTATCAGCTGTAATGACAGTCAGTCAGTACTCACCACCCACTTTGATTGGCTTTGAACAAGCAACTTAAAGGTCAAAGGTTTGATTTGCCATTACCATTCTGCTGAGCAATTCCATTCCTGTGACCTGTTTGTTCCTAAACTTTATCATTTGAAGTTTGACAAATGGGAAAATATATTAGCTCCCCAAATAAAATGGTACAAGAATGCATGCCATCAGCTTGAACACTGCCCAGGGATATTTTAATATGTTTGTCATTGAAATCTCACTCATAAAAATGCTAATGTAAGGTATTAACATAAATGCACATCAAACAGAAAACAGACCTTTAAATTTATATTTAATAAAATTGTTATTGCATGATCATAAAATAAGTGCCGGGTGGTATTAAAATGTGTGTTGAAGTGTAGCATATATATGCATTCTACATTTATAGCATTCATTCTCAGTAAGGACTGTCTATTTTGAATATAATGTTCAAAGGAAAAGGTCACTATGACTCAGCTGTTATCATTGTTCTGGAGTCAGAGGGGGGGTCATGCCAAGAACTGGACATGTTATACCCAGTGCAGCCATGGCAGTACTGTCTTAGGAGCTTGTTACATTACTCCGAGGGACTTCTGCCACAGCCACCTACAGCTGATTCCTCTTGGCAGAAATCCCAAAGAACAGGCACTGTTGCCTTCCCTAAACCTGCACCTTCGACCGAATGAGACTTAACCCTGTCCTCAATGAGACCAGGAGCAAGCTCGTTTTACTTCCGTTTGCATCATGTAAAGTTTAAAAAAAAAATCTTCAGCTGTTGTAAACTGGCATTTCAGAGTACATAGATCTATGTACACAGGCTGAATATCTGGCCCCTAATTTTTTTTTAAACTTTACCCAGAAGGAGCTATTTTACTGAACGTGGGGACTGAGTTGAATTGAAGAAAGAGCCTTCTACATATTGATATTTACAATGGGGCAAAAACCTCTCAAGTGCTCTGTGGCACTGGTCTGCAATATGCTATTTAATATTGTTATTAGAAGCTGTCAGTTCCTTCTGGAAAGGCTGGTTTGTAATCACATAGATGTCAACTCAATTTCATCTGAAACTTCTGCCATGGGGAAAGGAGGGGGGTCATCTTTACAAGTCTGAAAACCTGCAGGTTTTTGACCCTTCTATTTCTCTTCAATCTGTAGAGTTACCCCTCTCCATTCCAACCCCACTATATGACCCAAAGGTCATTAATGTTCCATTTCCAAAGAGTTATATAGAAGCATAATTTTTATGTGGTCAGATTGGTCCAATTATTTCTTGAAGACACAAATGTATAATTTCCTATAAGTGCTTAAAGAAAATCAATATACCAAGTTCATAAATTATTTATGACTCGATCAGTCTGCTTTTTTTTTTTTTTTTTAATGCAACGGAACGACTCCTTTCTAGAACAGGATTCGAATTTCAACTTCCATTCATAAAGATAAAAAGGATGTACATTCGAACAGCAAGCCAGCTAGGGGCAATGCAAGTCCAAAGAGAATTAAGGTGTTCCTTCTTTCCGAGTTCATACATTTTTTCAGTCCTAGGATAAATGAACAGGGTCTATACTGTTAAAAAGTCGCATACGGTTCTTTCTTTAATTGCTATCTCCACATTTGCTGGGCAGTGGGGAGGATTATTGGTTTTGAAATATCAGTTGAATTAACTAAAGACATTTTCATGGGCTCATATAAAGTCTAACCTCATAATTAGAGTTTATGGAGCATCCAGATTTCTGAATGCTTATAGAGAAACATTTTACAAATGGTTTTTAAGTAGGTGTTAAAAAATTGCCATAATGCTACTGCACATATTTTGCAATAGTTCCCTTAATGTTATGCTATAACTGTGAAAGACTTACGGAGATGCGCCATTTATCACCCATGTTATCCCAGTAAGTCAGATGCGGGGTGCTCAAAAATCTATGCTATTTTCCCCCAGTAACACTACTACTACGAAACATTTATAGAGTGCTTTTTGTCTTCAGAGTGCATTAGATCCATTAGCTAATTAACCCTCACCACAGCCCTTTGTGGTAAATACTTAAATCCCCTTCTCAAAGAGGAGGCAACCAAGCCACTAAGTGAATAAGTGATTCACCCACAGCCATGGAGTGAGTGAGGCTTAGAAATCAGCCTGTCTCACACTTACACCTCATGATCTTTTTAGATTCTTTTTCGTACAGGCAAAGTGGTCTCCATATTAGGCTAGAAATAGTTAGACTTGATAGCAAGCAAGGTTCAAATTCTAGAGGAGGCAGCTCGTCCTTAAGCCTTCTGACATACAAAACTGAACTATATGCAGCGTGCCATCAGTACGCCTTTCGGATGTGAACGTGAAATAACAATTCCCATCCTTTTCAGTTTGGGGCAACTGCATTAATATTCCTCCTGTGAGATACAGGAAGGGCATCCATTTTAGCCTCCTGGCTCCTCAGCCATCACCTCTGTTGAGAAGAGACCTGAGTCTCTTTTGCTCCTGATTTGGGTATTTCCAGGCTGCTCAGTTTCCTGCCACACTGAGATCTCCCAGGCAAGCCCAGCTTCCTTAGCAGGCCCACTTTTCTTTCTCCTCAACGGATATAAAAAGCATAATTGCTGAGTCAGAAAGGGCTATGTGAAAACTTCTAAGCAAGTACATTTATTTTTAATAAAAAAGCATCAGAGAAAGCATATTAACACACTGAAAGAACTACACACATGCTAATAAGCTGAGTGGAGATCACCCCGACTACATCAAAGTGTGGCAGCTTAAAGCTCCTGTTGGGTGCAGATCACCATTCCAGGCCAACGGGAGCTGAGGGAAGCGGTGTCCAGGTCCATGCTGCTTCCCACAGCTCCCATTGGCCAGGATAGGTGATCCATGGCCAACGGGAGCTGCAAGCAGTCGTGTCTGCAGAGGCGCTGGTAAATAAAGCTGTGGCAGACTAACCCTGGCAAATCACCTCTGATTTATTGCCCACTCCAGATCTATCCAGTACTGGCAGTTTTCACAGTTTTCCCATTAGGTAGTTGGTTCCTCACACAGCTTAGCAATTACAAACTGGGGGCAGGAGTTTCAGAAGCATGCAAGTGACTAATGAGCCCAAGTCTTACTGCCATTCATGGGGACATTATGCTCCAAAGTCACTTAGGCACATTTGAAAACCTGCTGCCAAAATGCAGGAGAAATTAGGCTGAAACTGCTTTCAGGAAAATGTTGGCTGCCATTATATTTGATTAATTCACTTTCACCGTGTGCTTTTAATAAATAATTTTCATACTGGATATCATTGCAGATTCTGAGGAACTTTACACACCAAGAAAGTACAAAGTGAATTAAAAATGGCTAGAGTGAAGGTAAAAAACTTTTCAAGAATTTATTCACCAGGTGGGACCTTGTAGGTCAGGATCAATTCAAATAGAGGAAAGGGGGGAAAAAGGCTTTTAGGTAATACTTGAAGGAGAGTGACCTTCTGAGACCTCGCTGATTACTTACATGATTTTCTTGCCAAGTAATGAATGCTGCACTGCTCTGTGGCCATAGTGATCCTGATACACTTGTTTCAAGCTCCCGACTCAGCACCTGCTGCCTGTGTATGGTGACAAAATGATTCACCGAACATAGTGCATATTAGTATATAGAACTTTTTATGGAACAGTTTTCTTTCATTATCCAAACAAAAATTTACCGAGATTCCAAATAATAAAAGCTAAATACTTCCCTTTTGTTACCAGTCACGCCTCCACAGATGTTTGTACAGGAATGGAATCATTCCAGACTAAGGTCCTAAACGTTTTGGTGAATAAGGTATAAATTTAAGCATTTGCTTAAAGTTAGACACATGTTTAAATACACTGCTGAAATCATGCTCTGAGTGAAGAATACCAAAAGCTCTTCCACAGAGCTGATTCTATCAGGGCTAGATTAAGATTAAAATTTAAAGATTAAATATGGTCTGCAACCACCACCCTTTTGAATAATACACAGAATTATAGATATTTTCTCCAGCCTTCACCCAGAACAGACTCATCCTTCCAGCTAAATGAAATCTACTTCCTACGTCCAAAGATCTGCCCCTAGTGCACGCGCCGTGTTGGGGCGGGGCAGCTTGCGTGTTCTTATGATCCCAGAAGCTATGCCGGTGGGAGCTTAGTGCTTCTGGTAGGTTCAACCAAGCCGGAAAGGTCAAGCGGAGAGGAGCCAAATTAAGCATGCACACTGGTTCTCCAGGATTGGGGGTTTGGCTCAGGGCTAACAACCCTGAAGTAGAAAAACATTTTGGTACGGAAACAGCAACAAAGAATTCTGCTGCCCTATACGCCAATGGGCATGAAGGATGATGATGATGATGACGACGACATCCAAAGATGGACACTTATCTTCTCCCAATTCTTGATACCATAATTTTCCTTGTACGAGAGACAGCCTATTTTACCACAGAGAATAACTGTCAGCCATCTGTTATTCTGTCTCACTACTCTGCCTAGGAACTCTTCCCTATCTAAATGCATCAATATCTGGAGGATCTAAAAAGCATGCCTTGATCCATCCCGGACTGCTGTCAAGACAACTAGGCAGGAAGCCATGTTATAACACATGCTCTGTAAATAACTATGGAATTCCAGAATGTGTATAAAAACAGAGGTTTTGATTCAAATTAGCTGTACAAACCAGCACAGGCAATAGTTTAAAATTCTGAGTACACAAGTTGTTCTAGCTGCGAAATCATTATACATTTAAAATACATAATGTACAAGAGTAAGGATTAGCGTGATCCTTACCTTTGGAGAGAAAAAAAACCACATATTTAGGCAGACTTTTCTACCAACTGTCATTGCTAGGCCAATTCCCAAAGGATCATTTACATTAATTACCTGGTTGCTGTAATCCAGCTGCTGATTCTCTTTTTGCTCCCATCTCTTTCACTTGCCATCAGGCAAAGTACTACAGCTGGCACCTTGAGTTCTGTAGATTTTCTCGTAATTCCCCAGCATTAAGGGTGTGCTGTCCCTATTACCAAAGAATTCTCTGAAAGGAAAAAAAGGTCATTTTAGGAAAGGAAATTAGAGACAAATTGAAACAGAAAGGGACTTATCTGTATGCCTACAGGTTCCCATTCTACCACGGATTAATAACATCCAGATACCACACAGACATGGGCAAAGGAAAATAACACCCAGACCACAACAAATCAAGCAATATCTGGACTATTAACTTGACATAGCCATGTGGAAGAACTAAGTAATTTCTTTAACATTAGAAAAATTATTTAAAAGAACAAAGTGACTTATTTTGTTTTGTTGTGGTTTTGTTTTTTAAACAGTCAACAATCTGCTGATTCAATTGAAGAGCCAGGACCAAGAAACATTCTTTTATAGCTTTTTTCCTTCCCACATTTTAGCAAAACGCCATCTTGAAAATTAGAGTTTTAGCAGTAAACAATAGTGAATATTCCATAGACAAATCCATGTTCTGTTCACTGTGATTCAGAAGATCATATTATTTACTAGCAGATTTATCTGGTGTTGCTCAGGTCCTTAACTACTCCAAATTTCTCTATGTGTGATCTCTTTTCTGTAAGATTTATTAAGAAGTATTCCTGTTTCAGGTTCATTCTATTATTCTGGCTCATCTTAGCTCAGTCTCAATCAACATTCATTCAGTTGTGTCAATTCGGAGGAATGTAATTGATTTGGTGATTCTGTCTCTCTTCTGTTTGGTTTTATGAGATGCAATCCCATTCCAGGCACATCTTATTTTCTTGGCAGAGCCAAACTCTAACATTGCTTTAGGTTATGATAAGAGGAAGCTCTATACCAATTGTGGGGGTTCTAGTTACGGTCTGTTTATTTACAGTAGATTTCTGATAACCTAGAACCTATGGGACCTAGGTGGTGCCGGATTATCAGATATGCCAGACTATCAGGAGGTACTATAGGGGGATTTTATATATATATATATATATATACACACATACACACACACACACACACACACACACACACACACAGTATACAAAGTGTTCTTAACCCTTTTTATTATACTGTATACAGTATACTGTAATACTTTAGTTTTTTTAAGCCCTTTTTTTATCCTTTTTGCTCAGTTCAGCTGCTGCCGCTGTTACCTTGTGACTCATTTTTTGCTGAAGCTCACTCACTAGGTCTTGCCATTTTGATGCCGGACTATCAGCAGTGCCGGACTATTGGAGTTTTACTGTATATAGCTCATGGCTCCCATTGACTGCAAAACTATGGCCAAGGGGAACCGCGGAAAGTGGCATGGCCTGGGCCGCTGCTTCCCGCAGCTCCCTTGGTTGCAAATGGCAGCCAATGGGAACACGAGGCTCTATGGCTGCAGAGATGGTAAAATAAACAAGACCGGCCTGGCAGAAGTTTTCTCTGAATGGATCCGCAGACCACTAAGAAACACTGGTTTAAGTTATGATAAGAGGAAGCTGCATACCAAATTTGGTGATCCTAGCTTTTATGGTTTAGGAGAAGTTTTTGAACAAATGGACAAATAGACGCATAGAAAGACACACACTAAAATATATAGAGAGATTTTTCATGACAGTTTGAACTTCCATAAGGTATTCTTGAAAGTGTTTCTGAATTCTAAATAGGGCTGGTTGGTTTCACTGGAAAATGCCAATTTGTTGAAACCAAAATACTGGGTGGGGGGGAGAAGAGACAGAGAACGAGCAAATGACAGGCAAGATTCCCATAGAATCCCGCTTAGTTTCCTGCCAGCTCACTTGATGGATTGCTAGAGACTTGGACTTTCAGGAATTACAGCTCTTCTGAATGGACTGGCCCTGTGGACTTGCTCAAAGTCAACAATTGGTTTCTTGGGGCCTGAAAGCACTGCTCAAAGCCTAGAGACCCTACCTCTAGAAGCGACATTCCAGCCTTCTTCCTACTGATCTGGGAGCCTGCAAGACTCCTAAGCCAGTTGACTTCCCAGGCTCTAGGGGTATGATGACCCAGAAGCCAACTGACATGGGAGTATGGAAGACTTGGAGTGCCTGGCTCTATAACAGTCCATATGGTAGAAGTGCCATAGATCCCAGAATCCCTGGCAGTTACTGAGTTCTACTTCCATACCAAGGAACATATATCATTTTGAGAACATGTTGGAAATTTCCAAATGTCAAAATATTCAGCAGACTGGAAGGTCCAAGTTTCACTCAGCCCTAATCCATAAGCTTTAATTTTAGGACAAGGGGATATATTTTGGATAAATAAAGCTTAATCCATAAGCTTTAATTTTAGGACAAAGCTTTATTTATCCAAAATATATCCCCAAGTTATATTACTTAGTATACTAATATATAGTAATAATATATTAATAGTCACTATTAGCCAGGGGTTTTTTTGTTTGTTTGTTTCATGTATTTTATTTATCCAGTGAGAGTATCTAAACAATTCCATTCTTCTTAGGTGACCAGTCGCATCACACTATTAGGGCTAGACTGCTAATGCTTATTCACAATGGAAAGGACTCGGGCCTTTTACTTCTATGGGTCTAGTGTGAGAAAGTGTATACCAACATTAGTAAGTCTGCATAGTCTAACAATAAATAACTGTAGTAAATACATTGCAGATGATCTATAGACTGGAAAATATTCATCCAAACTCTTCAATGAATGCTTACAAATAATGAATTTCCTTCAAGAGATGAGGTACAGTCCACAAATGAGTTGTAGACCACAACAGGGTCTAAATGCTGTCACAGGATTGAGAGGGCAATCCAGACCAGTGAGGGGGTATGTCACTACTTGCCCTGCCATCTTGTGTACTTTACAAAGCTTTGCTCCGATAGCTCCCAGCCACAGACGCTTATAGCCAGCTTACAAGCTTTTCAGTTCACAGCCCCAGTGCCTGTATACTGGACAGCTCTGGTTCAACAACTCTGACCCAGCAGCCTGCCTATAGCTTAACTCTGGCTTCATCCCCAGCTTAGTTTACATTGGACACAGGTAGGTAGGTAACTGCCTTTTCTCCTATCTGTGAGGAAACCCTTTTCTTCCTGTTTGGCCACAGACTTTAAAACACAATATCATTAAGTGTTCCTATTTCATTATGTAGTGTTAGTACATGCAATTCACACAGATATTAATCACCAGTTCGTCATTAGCAGAAAAGACCTCACTCTATTCACTTTCATAATAGAGTTATATTGTTCACGAGCACTTGATGCACATGGTTATCACCTGAGGTGCAGCTCCGTCCCCTTCCCACACATTTTACAGGCCAGTAAACCTTTCCACAGTATGCTTTGAAATAAAATCCTGATCAAGCTTCTGTCTCCTGCTGAGGCCTAGACACCATGCTGTCTCCTCCCGCACTTGGTAGCTTGACATCTTTATCTTGATATTTACCTGGCATATAAATATACCATCCTTGTCTCTGCCTAGTAATGGGGATGCTAGTGTAATTGGGGGAATGGTCCTGCTATGATGAGGAACTTTCCTGGCTTCTATACTACTCTGGTGAAATGGACCAGCGAAAGGATCTGAGTCCCCGCTCCCACTTCCTTTACCCAAAGGCCTCCCTGACCCTGAGGGCTCCCCTTCCACTCTCCTGAGTAGCAGAGTCCTCGAAATCCCAACAAGGCTGGGCCCAGGTTTTCTGGGGCTTAATCCCCAACTTTATAGTCACTTGGGGCAGGGGCTAGGGTGTCCTCCCTCCGGGGTGGTCTCCGCACACTGCATGCTTTCTTGGCCCAGTGATCATTACATATAGTTCAAAGCAAATACAATTTACTAAACAACAACTGATTAAAAAGAAAAGAATAAGGAAAAACGAGAAAGGTTAATAAGAACACACAGTCCTGTTCTGTAGCCTGGGGACATCACAAACAGCAGTCTGCAGAGTGTAAGGACAATTCACAGTCTGTTCCTTATAGGTCCTGGGGCTCTCTCTCAGGCCCTGGCTGTGCTGCAGGGGGGCTGCAGGCTGGACACACTTACTCTGACAGTGACCACACGGCCTCAGGCTCTAGGTGGCAGGACCCCTCTCCCAGTTTGGCCTGAAGGGCCTCTTGGCTGGTGGCGTGTCCCTGTCCAGAGCCTCTTTCCTCCCCACTTTGCTGGTCCCAGCTGCTCACCAGTCCCAGCTGCAGACTGTGCTGCTTTGCCAAACTCCAACTCCTTGTGTTGCTTCTCTGACCCCTTTGGCTCTCTGATCACTGCAAGTCTGCTGCTCAGCGCACAGGATCTGCGCTCCTTGGGCTGTGCTCATGGCTCTGATGCTGAAGGTCTGTCTCTCCACACAGCTTGCTATTCCTTCTGCTTTTCTCAGCTCTTTCTCCTTTTCTCACAGAGACCCAGAAAATCCAAAACTCACACAGAGGAGGGGACCTGGACTTCTAATTCTCTCATTGATCTGTCCAACCTGTCAAACAGGCTGAGCTGGAGTGTTGGCCTCTTCCCATTGTCCCTGGGGTCTGTCAGTCTCAGTGCCCTGATTTCTCATGGACCCTTCCCCTTTGGTACTGGGAGCTGGCCAACCAAAAATTCCCACTGAGTTTTAGTAAGGGGCTAACAGTCCCCTTACACTAGTCAGAGAATCAAAAACATTCCTTTGGCTAGGGCAGGCCTGCTTACCACTTCCCCCGACAGGTGTGGTTTAAACACATTCTAGCGTATATCCATTAATCACATCACCTACATACATCACATAAGAACATTAACTTTCAGTGAGTTAGTTTTCAAATGCACCTGACAAGGTATAATTTATGCAAAGATTATTACAATAGTGTGTACAGCATGAATACATGGGTCACAGGGTCACAGTAACTAATAGTATTTGTAACAAAATGATCCACTAGCTCTACTTTGAACTCAGTTAAGCTACTTGTGCCCAATCCAACAGGCAGTCACATACATTTTTAGGCAACTTGCTGAACTGCTATGTGGTAATTATCTCAGCCAAATATAGCTAATCTGGTTTATTCTCCTGTCCACCTCAGTCTTACCCTAGTAAACAAATACAAACACACAGAAAAGCAAGCATAGAAATAAA